CCTTGTCCTCAAACGCAATGCGGACAATTTATGGCTCTGCTGAAAATAAAATCTCAGAGGTTCTAACAGATTGAAGCATGAAAACCAAGCAACCTGAGCATTGCCACCGAAGTTAGCTTTCCCTTCTCCTGGGCCATAGACAAACAAGTAGTTCCTTTAAGCAATTTTTTTGGCTGTTAAACATAATATCCATGCCTCTGCTACTGGATCGTGATCCAATGGCTCCCTTAAGGACTGTACTGTGGCAAGTGGTATAAAAGTCTTTCGGTTCCTTTTGTTGGGCCCTGACCAATTAAATCAAGAAAAGTGTTCAGCTGATACCATCTGCTCTCTGCTTTCATCTCAAAATCTTTTATTTTTGCCTCATCTTCATCCCTCCAATCCACAGGCAAACTTCTCTGATTTTTCACATGGCTGCCATCTGAACATGCTTCTCCTTAAACAATTTTTTCTCTTTATTCTGGCCCCCACCCATTTGCACCCTCCTTAGCCACCACACAAAGATAATAGTTTGGTGGTTATTGCAATTCCGGAGGTGGAAACTTTGAAAATGATTAGAATATTGATTAGTTAATAAAGTTTTGATAAAATAGTTAGAGAGAAAGTAGTTCAAATTCATAGTACATTTTTTAATGAATAGAACAATGAGGAAAATTATAGCAATAAGCTTATAACTTGGATATAAAATTGGGAATTGATTGTAATTACTAGGTAATCGATTTTTTAATTTATACAAAACTAATTATATGCTCATGGAAGCGGATTATTTGATGTTCTACTGTCTTGAGCTAAACTTTGTGCACTGTTTTATTTTGAGATCAACTAATTCATATGTATTGATACGAAGTAACATAACTAATTTCGTTGACAAAAGAATTTGGATGGCTTGCCTCTGTAGTTTTTCCATAGTTGCTTGATGGTTACCTCAATATTCCAGTAATTTTATTTTGCCTCCTCTTATTAACGTTGATGTTGAATTCTTCTTTCCTCCTTTTATATTTTGCTCTGCTAACTCATTTTGACGTTGAAATGACATGTGATAAGTTCCCATTTCATTTTGCACCTTATATTCGTGGTTATGTTTTTATTCTTTTTATTCTCTTGTAATTGGTAACAAAGACAATTGTTTAAAACCTGCAGATATTTAATGAATTTAATGCACGAAAGCCAGATGAATACAACATATTTAAAGGAGTCACGAAAAACTACCTCTTTATGGGTATAATTGGATTGACTGTTGTGCTTCAGGTTAGTCTTGTTAACGGTACTCTGGTGAATTTTAGCCTTGTCTGTGAAATATGTCCAAGACACCATAAAATTGCAACTGTTTTTCAGATTGTCATCGTTGAGTTTCTTGGGAAGTTTACTTCAACCGTTAGACTTAATTGGAAGCAGTGGCTCATCTGTGTCGTTATTGGAATAATTAGGTCAGTTAATCATATGCCTCGGAGTCACTTTTATCCTTTTTTTTTGCATGCTCTCTTTTTAAACAATTTTTTTAGAGGTTTTCCCTGGGGGAAGTTAGAAATGTCTTGAATTGATTGTTGTTCAAATTATTCCTGAGCATGTGCTAGAAAGGAATTAAGGCCCTTGTGGTAATGGTCTACAAAGTGCTCAATGATCTCTCCCCCTCCCTCTTACTCTTTCTTTCATGCTTTCAGTTGGCCTCTTGCTGTGATTGGGAAATTGATACCAGTGCCAACAACTCCAATCAAGAATGTTTTTACAAAATGTGGTACTTCTGGTTCTGGAAGGAAGGAACGTGAGGAATCTCAGTAGTCAATACGGGGTTGTGCTGTTTGGAACAATCTCATTCTGCTGTTTCTTTTGTTGTCTGACTGTCACAGCATATATTGGAATGGATACTCTACACGAACAAGTTTATCTTTCTACTGATCTAACTTATTAATTTGGAGAGAAATTTGTAATTGTTTTATACCTAGGTTCTAACAAGAATACACCGAATCTCAGCTAAATCTCGGCTTTTTGTTAGATGTAAAAGTTTGTCAAATGTTGATTAATATTTTGCAGATTTGAAAAGTTGTAAAGATATGGGTGATTTCAATTTGGTTGGTTGTCTGGATTATGTTTGGATTTCAGTTGCTTTTCTTTATTCAGTGATAGTATTTACGATCGCCCCCTTCGAACTTAATTTAATGTCCAACTAGGAACTCTATTTGAATTTTACGGGCTTACAACTAATATAGTTTCTTTTGTTCGTTTTATACAAGTATCTGCAAAATGTTTAGGCGGTGAAGGCTGGTAGGCTTCAACAAGTTATACAAACTTTTTTAAGATGAGATTTGTTTGAAAGTTGATCTGTCTTAAAATTTAACTATAGTTCACCAATTAGTTCTTAAATGTTTTAAACTGTTATGAAGAGCTTCGTTATGAGCAAATTTAACAATCAACTAAATTATTTAAATGAAGAGTAACAAAATAAAACGTGATGAAATTATTTTAATATTACTAGCATGTTTTAAGTACTATAATCATGAAAACTACTTTTCATATAAATTATTTGTTTTAGTTGTAGGTTCTTAAAATTTGAATTGTTTTTTTTATTATTAGGGATGAAAATATAAAATTTAAGCTTATGCATGGCGTGTTAACTATCATAATTTTTATATATGCTTTACTTAAACTTTTTAAAAAATTTGTAATGATTTATTAACTTATTTAAAAGTCTATTTTATAATTACAATGATAAATAAATTTAATTTTAAATAAATTAAATTTATTTTTAAATTTACAAATAAGTTTTTCTTAATTTGTGATAAAAAATAATTTAATAAAAATAATAATAAAATTTATAGTTTAAGATAAAAATAAAAAAAAAATTAGCATAAGACGGACTATTCACTTACACTTGTGTACAATAACTTACACTTATCAAATGTGATAAAAAAGAATTCAAATAAAACTTTTAAATAACTAACTATGAAAAAATAGAAAAAGAGCATGAGAAGATGCTGATCTTAAAATTTTTGTATGAATAGAGGGTGTAAAATGTTTAAGTGTAGCAAAAAAATATAAAAAAATATTGATAATTTATATTGATAAGGTCAATTTTAAATATGTGAAGTTATAAATTCTTATTTTAAGATTTGACTTTTCATTTCTGATAATTATATACATACTAAACGTAATGCTATGAACGAAAACAAACGAATAATATTGTAACAAATAAAAAGGAATAATATAAAACGAATAGAAGCAGGTTTCTAATTTTTTTTTTAGTTTGGGAAGCATATTATAATAAAGGCTTAAATATATTTTTAGTCCCTCAAATTTAAGATAAATTTATTTTTTGTCCCTCAAATTTAAAATGGTTGTTTTTAGTCCCTGTAATTTTTAAAAATCTTGTTTTAGTCATTTAAGTTACCAATAACATATTTAAAAGTGACTAATTAAGACAGTTATGCAATATCAATCAAATTTAATGTGATATTTTCACTAATAGAGACACTAATAAGTAGATTTTATGCAATAATATTTTATAAATTTCTTAACAAAATTTGAATATAAGGACTAAAATAAGATTTTTTGAAATTATAGGGACTAAAAGTAGCAATTTTAAATTTGAGGGACTAAAAATATATTTACCTTAAATTTGAGGGATTGAAAACATATATTTAAGCCTATAATAAATCATATAAGAGGTATAGATATGATGGGTATACTAGTATGTGGTCGTACAAATTACAATACAAATTGCTTTAGAATTCAACATATTGTCTAAAGTTTATGGAATGGCAAAGTTAATGGTAATTTCAAAGAAAATAGTGCTTATGTAGTAGCTAGTGATGCTTAGTAAACAAATTTTGGGACTCCATGAGGGTACCATTTGAAGTTCTGTATTTGAAAAAAATAAAAAAAAAACATATTTTACAACTTAAAATTAATGTGTCCATCTTAACTTCAAAAAAAAAAAAACAAATCTAAGTGGGAAAACTGTTATAAAAGTTAAACGTGTAATAGATTTTAGCCTTTATAATATTTTTTTTCATCTAACATTTAGAATAGTTGTTTTTGGTTTTTAAAAAATGGATAAATTTTAATTTTAGTCTCTAAAATATATTTATTCTTCTAAAATTTAAAGTTGTTATTTCCAGTCCAATAATTATTTTAAGATACATAAATGAAATCTATTTTAAAAATTTATAAAATATTTTAAAAGTTTCGTATACTAACATGGAATAAAATATAATTATGGGTTTTATTTTAAGATAGATAAATGAAATCTGTTTTAAAAATTTATAAAATATTTTAAAAGTTTCGTATACTAACATGGAATAAAATATAATTGTGGGTTTTATTAAAAATATTACTTAATCATATGTTAAATACAAAAGTAGTTAATAAAAATCTCAAAATACTAGGAACTAAAAACAATTTCAATTTAGATGATGAAAAAGAACCAAAATCAAAAGTAAGCTAATTTATAAGAATTAAAAACATATCTATGCATAAGTTTTTAGCTTATAAAATATTTAGTTATTTATTTTTGACTAAATTACACTTTTAATCCCTCAATAATATCAAATTTATAATTTTTGTCTCTCAATTTATAATTCTATAATTTTAATCCTTCTATTTTATAAAATTTGTAATTTTAGTCCTCTTGATACATGTTCATTTGTTAATTATTAAAATTGTAATATTTATCATAATTTAATATTAGATAGATGATATAATAATTAATATTTAATAACTTATATTTTTATTTCACATTTTTATCTCATTTTATAAATTTTATGAGATAAAATAAAAATTAAAAGTAAAATTTAAGTTGAATATTATTAAATATTAATTTTTATGTCAACTATATTAATATTATAATTTTAATAATGATCACATGAACATTCAATGAAGGGTACAAAATTACAAATTTTGTAAAATTAAAAAATTAAAATTACATAATTAAAAATAGATATAAAAATACGAATTAGATATTATAGAGGATAAAAATATAATTTATTAATTTTTCATCTCTTTTAAGTACTAATGAGAAAAATTTATCCTAGAAATTCAAACATGAAGGTAGAGATATTAACAGCTGACACATAATATTGCTACACACTTTTTATTTTACCATAACCATTGTTTCCATCTTGAACAGAGTGCACAAGTTGGTTGACATAAACATAGATGCATTTAGAGAACAGGGGTAGATTAGCAAAAGCAAGCATACGCAAAATGGCTCTTCTGAGACACATAGGGAGACATGTAGTCAGAGGCTAGAGGCTGAAGCTGATGGTCCTGTTATTTCAGCAGGAACAAGTATGTGGTTGTTCCTTGATACAATTCTCATCCCAGCAACATTAGCATAGAAGATGCCAGCAATAGAGGGCACAAACACATCACTTTCAGAACACATGTAGAAATCAATCACCTTCTCAAATTCAGACCTCAGAAACTTACCCTTCTTGTCTTCTGCCATTACACTTTCCTGTTGAATCAATAAGACATACAAACTTCATTCAAAAGGGAAGAAAATTAAGTGTGTGCTTGGGTGAGTGTTTGCAAAGTAATTTTAAATGATTTTTTTATTTTTATTTTAAATATTATGATTTATATTTGAATTTTTTGTTCTGAAAGAAAGTTAGTGGTTAAACTAAAAAAATTTCTGATCTTCTGCAAAAATCACCTAAAGTTACTTTAATTCAAAATCAATTTTCTACACTGAATCAATTTCTCAACGTGGAATCAGACAAGTGAACATTTACTTGAAATCACATTAGCTTATATTTCAATGTGACTTCGAATCATGTAACGTGTTATTTTGAATAATCTAATGTGAATCTAAACATGTTATAACAAACCAACAAGCTTGACTACAGTGAAATTAGAATTGAGGTCATAGTGAAACTACCTTGGTATAGGTTTTTGGGAAGATATCTTTCAGTGCATCAAGATCATGATTCCATTTGGTTCGAGTCACATAAATAACAGTAGTCTCGGGACTGAATCCAATCTTCTTGAGAAATTCACCTATCTCATGTGCCTGGTAACAAAGTTTCCTTCCTGAGACATCTTTTCTGTGACACTCCTTTCCCGGCATCTCAGTCCTCAAATCCACTGCAATGAACTGGCCATTTGAGTTCTGGCTCAAACATTGCAGCTTTTGGACCATAGAGTCCACTACTTCTTCTATCTCTGATTGTAACTTAAGAGTTCCAAACATTGCTTGGCATGCAAAAGTGTCCAGGCTCTTCTTGTTTCCTGCTACTGTTGGATTAACTGAGGTAAAGTATGACTCAATCTTCACAATTCCCTTTGATTTGTATATTGGCTTTACTTTCCTTTCAATGAAATCTTGTGAAACCCTGTTAGGCACCTTCACTATTGGAGGGTTTCCTTTGGATACTTGGGAAGGGAGTGTCTTAGTTACTCTCACCAACCTATCCAGCTTATTAATAGTTCTTTGAACATCATAAATATCTCCTAGGCTCCTGAAATGAGATCAAATATGTAAGAATCTGATGTATGTTAGAACATGATGAATTAATCATAGGCATGTTCTATTGTATGTTAAGTATTGCAAATAAGTAATCAAATTAAGAAATGAAATCAAGAGTTGTGCGTTGAATAATATGGTCAACTTTATGAGGCAAATTCTGCATCATTGTGAACCCTGACAATTGATAAACTACTTCATACATATGCTTTCAATAACAAGGAGTTTATGGAACTGTATCCTATGCAGGCTAATATGACAAATCTAAAGTATAATTTGAGTGGAAGATAATAATAGTATTAACGATTGTGACAATGAATGGTCGGTGGCAAAACAAAGATATGAATTAATGAAAAAATGCTTGTATATAGATCTATAGAGAAATAGAATTTCTTGATGGTTAAAAAAATAGGAAAATAGAAATGATTTCAAATAGAAACTTATCGAGTTATATAGAGAACACACATGCTATATCCGGAATTGCTACTCCTGATGTCAGGAAGCACGAGAGTGGCTCCCAGGATTCTAGCAACCACCACTGCATCAGCAATCTGTGCAAGTCATCCCAAGAGATGATGGTAAAACCAGAAAAAAAAAATAATGGAGAAAAAGAAAAGAAAGAATAGAAATCTTACGAAGTATATATAAATTAAGGACAAAACTTAGATACAATATCATAAGTCTGGTTGATGTTATTATCAAACCAAAGTTAGAGTTTCAATAACGTCTAAATGCATTTTTATCAAAATCTGTACTAAATATTAATGCATGTTATAATGTGAAACTTCAATTCTGATAGAAAATAATATTATCAGTACCATATAAGTTTTATCCATGAATTAATTTCCATTGGAAAGTTGTTACATAAACCAAAAGATAAAGAAGTGGTGCAAGTGCAACAGACAAACCTGTGAGAGATGATACTCAGGGCCATTTGTTAAGGAGAATATGACGAAACCTTTAGATTGATGTGCCTCTTCTGCAGGTCCAAAATAATGAGTCATGAATAAGTAACAAAACCCACATAGATCATGATTGATGGGAACATACCAAGTGCAAGGGGGATTCTACATGGTTTAAGTTCTTCACCATTTTCCTTCAAAGGCATTTTGCTTACGTGTGAAACCGCTGTAAGGGTTTGTTCGGAGGCATTCTGGGAAGCTGGTGTAGCTTGAACCTCAAGCTTCACATCGATAAGTGTAATTAAAAATCTTCATTAGTGACTTTAAAACAGACTTTATCACTCCAAACACCTTGTTAATAATTCACATTGACATGAGAAGTTCGAATTAACCTCCCAAAACTCAGGTTTTTGTTTTGCTTGCATATATGTTGAATGGAAATTAAAACAATTTTTTGCACTTCATTCAATTTTTACGAATAAAAAAATGGGTCATGCCAACAAAATTTCTTGAATAATCCTTGTAGTCATCACTATTCTAGCTTTGAGATGATGAACTTCACATTTACACAACAAATTAAAAAAAAAAAAAAAAGTTGAAAAGATATTAGATGTGCATCAAGTTAGATTACATTGAAGTGTGTGTTTGACACATTAACGCAAAAGCAACACCAAGCGGTGTAAGGTGAATGCAAGAATGGACACGAGTCCAAAGACGCGATAAGAAGGTAAATGAACCACGTTTCACTTTCATGCACACATTTTAGCTTTGAGATTATCATGAGCTTCATATTTACACAGAAAAAGGAGTAAAATAAAAGAGTATAATAAAAGCTACACAAAATATTAGTCATGCATGTTCCATCTAGAACCACATTGAAGCGTATGTCTGATATTATGTTATTTATTATTATTATTATTATTATTATTGAAAGTAAGATATATTTTTTTTTTTCGTTCCGGGAATATTCACCGTCGACAGCAGTAACTAATCTCCTCGCTACGTTGGAGGCACCTCAAAGGGTGGGATAGCTGGTCCTAAGATTTAACGCGACTGCATACACAAGGCAGGATTCGAACTCCTGACCTTGCTTAAGCATGGATCAACCTCTATTGCTGAACCACACGCTTGGGGTTAAAGTAAGATACTTTGTGTCTCATCATAAAAAAAATTTTAAAAAATAAAATTAAGAAAATATGTGATTAATTTCAAAATAGTAAAATATAGCTATACAAATTAGTTAAATGGTAAAAATATATTTCAACAAATTAGTTAAGAGATAAAATGGTCCAAAAAAATATGAACACTAAAATAAAGTATTTCTTTATTAATGTTATAGATTATTATTATTATTGGTGTAAATGAGACATTTCGTCTTTATATGTATTTTAAAAATATATTAAAAAAATGAGTAATTAATAATAAGTTTTTGAGTAAGTGTAATGGTAAGGATAGTTTTTTAAAAAAATAAAGAGAGAAAAAGTAGTTTAAGAGATGGTTGTAAGGACAAAGTGGTCCAAAAAATATGTATACGTAAAAACTAATTTCCTTTATTATTATTATTATTTAACCATGTTATTGTGTCACTTATTTACATTAGCGCAAAAGCATACACAAAGTAGTATAAGGTGAATGCAATTTTTTTTTTTTTTTTACATATGGTACATGAACCACATTTGATATACGCGTTCTAGCTTTGCATTTTCGCAACAAAGTAAAATAAATAAAAGCAACACAAAATATAGGTGCACATGGGATTCAAATTAAGTGATCTCCATTGTAAATAAAATAAAATTTGCACAAACTCATCAAGAAACTCCTTTAATTAGCTTTACTATAAGTTATTTATTCTTCAGAAATATAAATTACTCGTTTTCAAAGATCTTTTATATAAGAGTACTTATCCATCATCTCCTTTTAAGAAGAAAAAAAAGTTTCAACTATACATTACTAAGTCTTATAAATTCACTCTATTTAATAAATTTTAAAATTACCAATTTGATTTAACTATTAAATTATATAATATTATTATAATAATCATACATTTAAAATTTTAAATAAATAAACGTTCATAGACATCTAATTATACAATAGACATTTACTTTGAATTGTTACTCATTTTTTTTTCCCTTTTCCATATCTTATACGTTGTTTTTAATATTGTCATTTTTGATTTTTTTTAAAATCATAATTATCTTTTACCGGAGACATTTCTGTCTGATCGAGCCAAGAAAATTCATTGTAGTTAGCAAAATTCTCCTTTTAAATTGAAAATTTTCAATGTAAAGATGAGTGTTTAAGTCTCTCATTGTAAAGATGAGTGTTTGAATCTCTCATGACTCACTTCTTACTTTAACAAAAAAAAGAAGAAGAAGCAAATATATAATTAAACCTCAACTTTTCAAAACAAGAAAAAGAAAATAACTAAGCATATAACAATAAAAGTGATAATAAGGTGAAAATGAGGTGACTTACACCATACAATGGATCAATATGGTCCTTCTTGATCATGTTCCCAAGCATAATGAACATAGAGAGAGTGAGAAGTCCAGACAAGGCTTGCCTCAAGTCCATTGTTGACATTTTGTTTCTCCACTCAGAGCAAACCCTCTCCAAAACTTAACTCAATAGATCAACCAAATCTTCTATATAAAGCCCTTGTTTTGCCGACCCAATTAGAGGAAGAAAACACCACGAAAGCTAAGTGATGAAACTGAGAACCCCATTCAACACGCACAAAGACTTTTTGTTGCCAATAACAAGGTTATAAGATAAGCAAAAGCCATTGCTTTTGCGACAAGAGAGAGATATATCATCATCACCCTTTTGTTGCTCTCTCTCAATTTGGTTTCATTGCAAAAAATAGTGTACCATACACTCAAGATATTGTTCAAATCTATTTTTACTTGAAATACGCCTGTTTTTGTGCACGTTTCGTCTCAACATTATGTTGGCTATGAAGAGTTTCATATGCAAACTTCATCTTTTGTTCCTACGTAACATGTGTATTTGGTTTCGTTCGCGTTCTCACTGTCATGTTCTTTCTCTCACACACTCGCGCTATTCTTAGATCAGTTAAATGGTTTGTGATGTAACTGAGGTGAACATTCTTGGAGGGTAAATTAAATTCTCTTTACGAAATTACGTAATTTTTTGGATCTTAATTTATGAAAATTAATAACCATGATTTATTTGCTCACTCTCACTGCAACCACTTTTCTTCTGTGAGAGCTATACCTGTATGTATTACTTTCATGTATCAAAATCTATATAATATTTCTTAATTTTTGAATGACACTACTTCGTATCCTTCGAAGTTTGTATGTACTTTTAAGGCTTTGAAGGAAAGACATAGTAAAAGGATTATAGGTAAATGTTTTTTTGTCGCATCCCTAACAAAATTGTGGAATATTGTTTCCTTTTTGTCGTTTTCTTTTTTCTATTCGGTCCAATAAGGGTGTAGCAAATTTTGTTTTATTTTCTTTTTATTTTGGATCTACGCGTCTGATAATAATAAGGAATAACAGATTTTACCAACCTATGAAATAATAAACGAACATCACGTTAAAAAAAATATTTAAGCTTGATATTATTATTAACCTATATAATTGAAATAAATATGATGAAAATAGATCAGAAAGCAGCTCAATAAAGGGTTTCGAAACCTGTACAGGGAAGTTATATGACATTATTTTTTTTTAATCTTAATATTTCATGATTTAATCAAACCATCATGATATATGTTATTTTTATTCTTTCATGATAAAAGTCTCACTCATGTAATATGTTCCTCTCTCTAACTAATTCAATAGTTATATTTAATCTTTTTTTCACCATAATTATTTAATAGTTCATTGTATCATTTTATATTAACCTATAATATAATATTTAAATTTAAGAATGAATCTATTTATTTCAAAAGTAAGCCTACCTAAATTTATTTCACTTAATAACTCATGTTTTATATCAAATTTCAATGATTTAATTGTTAAATTAAAATTTTTTAATGTATAGATTAAGTTTACAAATTTTTAAGAAGTTTGAAAATTATTTGTTGTTTCATTTCATTAATTCAAAATTAACGTATAAAATATGTTTATGATTATCCATCAATTTGAATTAATAAAATAAAATATCAAATAGTTTTTAAATTTTTTTTAAAAAATTTAATTTTAATTTATGCATTAAAAACTTTTAATTTAATGATCACTATGCAACAAAATAGACAACAACTTGCCTAGAATTATCATGTAAAAGCTATATAGACAATCATATAAACTATACATGTATAGGGTAGAAATAAATTGTTGAAAAATAAACCCCTTAATTACAATTATATACAGACCTTGTACACATATACAATCTATAACACTACATAATTTTTATGCAAAATAAACCATTCAATTAATCTTGTCCTACTCTCATACCAAGTAAGATCATTATAGTTCTCACCATAAGGAAAACACAAGGTAAGTGATAAGTGTCAATTTTACTTAATAATGTTATTAATTTGGCACTTATCTAACTTGGTTTTAAAAGAAAATTTTAACTTAACCCTTAAATATTAGAAAAATCAAAAGGTTGTCTAAGTAGGTTATTTTGTATAGAGTTGATAGGACTTCTATTGATAACCCTTTTTCTTCTTGTCTTGTAGGGTTAAAAGAGGATTTGGAGCTAAAAATACCAAAACCACTCGAACTTCTAAAACGATTGAGTGGATCATAGGCAGTGAGCAAGAGTTGGAGTAGAGGCCAAAATGCTCAATCGTTTGGAAAGAGTTGAGTGTATTGGCATTAGAAGGGTGCAAATTTTTGGCTTCTCAGGGGGCTCAATGGATTTAGAAGGGCTTAGTCATTGAAGTTGCTTCACTATGAATAATGCTTTAAACTGCTCGATCGTTTGGAAAGGGTTGAGCAATTTACTCTCTTTCTTCAATACTTTATTTTATTTGCTACACATATATAAGGACTAGAGAGTAGAAACAAAGGAAGTTAACCACAGAGACTTGTGCGAAATATCATAAAGCAAGTACGAAGTCCAAGAATCAACTTGGAATTAGGGTTTTAGGATCCTTCTTTCTTTCTTCTACACCTTCTCTATGTATTTTCGATCAGCTCTCATCATCATGAGTGACTGATTTTTAATTTTTTTTTGTGGTTGAATGTAATCCATCAAACTCTCATGTTCTCTTTTTGATTATATACATATGATTATCTATTATTCATTGTTAGTGATTTTGATTTCTTTCTTAATATTAAGGTAACTTGATCCCTTATCTTTGATCTTTGATTTGGATTTTGGTTAGGAAACATTTTTGGAATCTTGATAACTCTAAATAATAGTAATAAATTTAGAGTTATTAGTTGAACAAGTTCTTAAGCTTAATGCAAGGTTTCTAACTGGATGAATAAAGAAATCGTTTATTGAGTTAGATTCCTTAGAATTTCTAAATGTAACGAATTGATTTTGAATGATATTAATGAACTCAATAACATAGGATGGCAGAAATCATATGTATGTGGTCTTAGGATAACATAAGGGTGAAATTGGTGAAACTCAATCCCAATAGCTTTGCACATTGTTATCTTTCAGTTTTACTACTGCTTTATTTGTTATCTTTTTTATAATTTCAATATTGAAATATGAACCACATCATGTTTATGAATCTTTATATTTCAAGTTTTTACTGGGATAACAAATTATAAGTATCTTCTAAGTCTCTAAGGTTCAACAACTCATACTCCTTTTATATACTATAGTGACATGGTGTGCTTGCCTCAAAATCTCATCAAGTTCTTGGAGTTGTTGTTGGGGACTTGCGTTAATATATTTAGTAATTTCAATCTATCCTTGTTTAAGGTTATTTGAATTTTAGTTGTATATATTTTATAGTAGTTAGATTTAATATTTGTTGCTTTCTATGCTAACTTCCTTATTTAGTTTCTTTTCACATGCAAGGTAAAAATCCAACTAAGCATTTGCTTTTTGATCTTGAAATAAAGAGAACAACTAAGAGGGATAATTGCAATAAAAGGAAGCAAAAGAAGCTAAATTAGGAAAGGTAGCAACATGAGGGCACATCCACTTCAATTCCAATTCAACAAACTTAGCCTGAACCAATGGCAGATCCAGGTGGTATGGGACATCCAGATGGTGAAGGATCACACGACAATAATCCAAGAAGGCTTTTAGTGGAATACACACATCAATTGGAACCTAGGCATTTCTCTAGCATAGTCAGACAAAAAGAATAGAAGCGAAGTTGACAATGCTTTCAATTATCACTTCTAATCAATCAGTTCGAAGGGATGGATCATGAAGACCCCTACACTCACTTATCTACCTTCTATGAGCTTTGTAACATTATAGGAGTACCTAGGGAGGATGACAAAGTAGTATATCACAAAATGTTTTCCTTTTCTTTGACATGAAAAGCTAAGACTTGGCTGCAATTAATCCCACCTAAACTAGAGTTTAACTAGGTGGGAGGATGTTGAAAGGAATTTTTTAGCCATATTTTTTCCTCCATCTAGATATATAAGTGTCAAGTCAACCATTGCAACCTTCTCTTAAGGAGTAGATGAGCCTTTATGTGAAGCGTGGGAGAGGTACAAGTCTTTATTTAGAAAATGCCCAAATCATGGATTTGATGATGTTGTAAAGCTAAATATGTTCTGTAATAGGTTGATCACTACAAACAAAAATGTTAGATGATTTTACAAGTGGTTCAATGATGATGAAGGATTCTGAAGAAGCTATAACTATTATTGGTGCTTTGATAGCCAATGATTATCAAGGTCATCATGATAGAAGTCAACCCAACAAAATAGGTATTCTGGAACTAGATACACATAATCCAATCCTAAATCAAAATAAACTTCTTTCTCAACAAATGGAGGATTTGAAGAAATAAATGTCTAAGCTTCAAGTAGGATCATCTTCACGTTCTCAATCTCAACCAGTTATGAAATGTGATTTTTTGTGTAGGGGACCATCCAAATGGCTATTGTACCATTGTTGATCTAGAGTAAGAGGAAAAAGTTAATTACATGAATAATTTAAAGAGGCAAGGCAATTTCACTAGCAACTATAACTAGAACCAAGGTTGGAAAAGTAATTAGAATCAGTATTCTAAGTGGAAATGGGAAGTAGGACAATCACAAGACAACCTCCTCAGAAGACTTATCAAAACCAAATTCATATCAACAAGATAGATTGTCGAAAATAGAGGAGGCACTCACTCAGTTCATATCACAACCAATTAGAAGAATATTAAAGCTTATATTAGTAAGTTGAAAATGTAGGTGGCACAATTGGAAAGTAGTCAGTAGAACAACAAAATAATAAATTCTTAGTCAATACTTGGGTCAATCCTAAGGAGCATTGCTAGTCAATCACTACTTGGAGAGGCATTGTGGTAGGAAAGGGGATAGGTAAAGATTTAAATGAAATGGAAAACATTATGGGTGATAAGAAAAATGAAGTTGAACCTGAAACTGAGTGGGAAGTGGAGGTGAATAAGAGGAAGAGAAAAATGAAGAAAATAATAAAATAAAAGAGTGAGAGAAGTGATGAAAAAGATGAATATTTGAGGAAGAAAAGTAAAAGGAAAGGGAAAAAAGTAGCTAAAGCCCTTTTTTGTGAAGAATTTATCTTATCCATATATTCCATCAAAGAAGGACAAGGAACGTCAATTTACAAGGTTCCTTGATATAATCAAGAGATTACAATCAACATTACTTTTGCAAAAGCCTTGGAACAAATGTCTTCTTATGCTAGATCCATGAAGGAGCTTCTAACAAAGAAAATAAAATTTAGTAAGGATGAGACTATT